GAAAACGGTTCGGTATATATTATAAATAGTAAATATCGATTTAGCAATGACAACAACACTCTGATTCCTCCATTTCCCATGTTTTTATAACACCATGGCATCATCAGCAGCTTATCTCATTGGATGGCGTTTAGCAGTTCACTTGTACCGAAAGGGAACCAAAAATAGGAAAACAAGGAGAGTGGGTGGAACCAGATATTTAAATAGCGATCGCGGTTATGATTTCGGTCGTATCGCGTTTATCATGGTTGCGGATATAACGGATGTCATTGTGATCATTGCAGATGTCGCGGTCGTGAATTTTTTTAAATGTTGCACAACTTACCCTAAAATGACTAAATTAAATATAATTAAAATAAAAATATAAAATTTAAATTACAAAAATTTATATGACTGAAATTAAAATTAAATTAAATAAAAATTAAAGTTTACATTTTAAACTAAGGATTAAATTATAAATTCTAAAAGGTGGGATATATGTCAAATTAATATATCCTTTAAAATTATTTATAAAAAAAACAAATGTGCCAACTCCCCTCCCCCTCCCCCTCCCCTTCCCCGACCTTTCATTTTCTAAAACAAAAAAAAATCTGCTTTCACTCTCAAATCCCCACCAACCACGATTCCAACACACCTAACAAGCCGAAAGTCAAGTCTCCAACTCTATCACTGTTGGCCTCTAGCGTACTGTCTTCATCAACCGAGGCACATGCTCCTAGCCTCGACGCTTCTTCACCAGGCCCAGCTGGAACTGATGTGTTATACAATCTCAACTCCCCCCTCCCCTCCCCCTCCCACGACCTTTCATTTTTTGAAACAAAGAAAAAAAGGTCCTAGTTTCATCTTCTACAAAGTGGAAGCCCGTCGTTACTGCTCAACTTCTTCATCGGCGGAGAAGCTCGACGATGCACTTAAGGTTTCAGCTTTGTCTTTTTTTCCCACAGTAGCGGTAGATAACGGTATTAGCGTCCCAATATCGACGCTATACACTGTTACCCGTTAAATTGAGGGCGCAACTCGCCGTTATTGACATGATTCCGCTATCTACCGTGATTTTCTCGAATATCGGTTTCAGACGGCGACGCTACCACGAAATAACAGTCACTATTGCTATTTGAATCCCTGGGTGGAACAGCCAACAGACAGTTCATGGCTGCATGCAGTAGGAGCTGGCAGTGTTTTGGTCCCATGTGGATGAAATCGCTGACCTAACGAAAATTCATGTCAGGCTGCGTATTTGCAGGATCATTTAAAATAATTTCTTCCCATATCCTTATTCTCCTTTTCTTTAGTTGGTGACGACAACATTATCACTTAATGAATACATGAGCATCAAAATATTCGATTTCCAGAACATGTCGGCACCGATATCAAGCCATATTCGATGCTAAAATACATGCTGCAGGATACAAGACCTACAAGTCTAATCTAGAGTATAACAGTAATGCAGTTTACATCTCACGTGAGGATACTTTTTTTCACGAATATGGAGGGTTTTCTATGAGCTAATGTTTGAATCTATGTTGCAGGGCATGAGATGCAACGTAGAGAAGCCTAAAGAGTTATACTAGTACTTCAAATCTTTCCATATTGATTCACTGCCTGCTTTAAAGCAATGGCTTTCAGATGAAGGCATTTGTTACACAGATTAAATATGTTTCAAATAACTGCGATTTATGTATGAATTCTCCAATCTCAAGCTTAGAAAGGCATCAAAGATTTGTCCAGGCGATGCCATTTTTACGATCAATTTTTATTTTTCAAGTTTTACTAGCTTTATTTAAGTTATTTTAAAGTGTGTAGTCCGACGGTGTCGTGGTGTAGTTGGTTATCACGTCAGTCTAACACACTGAAGGTCTCCGGTTCGAGTCCGGGCGACGCCATGTTTACGTTCCTTCTTTAATTTTTACGTTTTCTGCATATTGATGCACTTTTTTTTTCATGCTGGGATTCATGCCATCAGGGACAGTAGAAACTAGAAACTTAGGAACGTAGGGAAAAATAAAACTTCTGTTCTGAATCCATTGCAAAACATCAACCATGTAATATATTTTGTGTGAATCTCAAGCAATCGACACAGACTTCCATTTTTTGGACACAGTCTACCTATATCAGAACAGTTATATTATGTTACATAAGTTGGAGAAAGATCCAGAAAATGAAACAAAATATGATCCAGCAGCACAGGAAAGCACTAACTGGTCTTAATTTAGTCTATGATATTTGGATATTTGTTCAGGATTAAGAGGAACTTGTAAGAGAATGGGAAAAATATAATTAGTCCAGATATTGATCAAAAGGACACAAGTGATCCTTAGGCATTGCTAACTTTTAATATTTATATATTGATCAAAGCTTATACAGTCTATATAGGAAGGGAGAAAAGGATTGAACCTAAACAATGCCAACAGCTGAACCACCGTATGACACATTTTCAATCATTATAGTATATAGATTGAAAATGTATTATAAACTATAATGGTTGTTCAGGTTCAATATGATTGCCATGATTACAACATATGTTGTATATAACAACAGGGTAGAAGGGACTGGCACTGGTGCAGATGTATAAGTTGCTGCTGTTTTACTCGCATTTGTCTTAGTGAAATAAAATGGAAAGTCAAACTTCACGTGCCTCGATCAAAATATGTTGCTTTGAGGATCAAGACATCGGTACCCATGGTGGGAGTACTGTAAGAAGATGCACCGACGAGAATCAAAAGTCCAACTAATGTTTGTCAAATAGGCCTCAAATAGGGATAACATTCGCAACCAAAGATCAAATTTTAATCTGAAATTTCCCCAATCAACTTTCAAAGATGAGACAAATTACTAAGATTTTGAAGGGCAGTGGATTGATAATATAAGTGGCATTAGTACTGCATGAGACAAGTGGCATTGATGCTTGAACTAGGAGACACAAGGTTGTCTCAATAATCATTCAATGTTTCCTTTCAACCACCGTTGTGCTGGGATGTTTGTGGACAAGTGACTCGATCAATGTTTAATGCCTAACTAACTCAACTTGGCCTCAAACGATCCAAACTCACCCCCTCCATGCATCTGTTTGAACAGCTTTGGTAGTTGATGAAAACTGATTATCACTGTGCATGTAAAACACAACATCTTAACCTTGTATAGCAAGGACATTTGGTTCTTACTGTATAAATAGAAGACCGACTTCTCTTTCCCTCGACAATCACTTACCACTGGAACACAACACATGGAGTAAGCAAATACGATTCCTACCAACAAACTCATCAGAATGACAAGAAAGTGGCAGAAGATGGCTGCCAGAGAATTAATTCAGTAAGGAATTACAGTGTCTCCCTTGTGAAATAAGGATCGGCCAAGGATTTGGAGAGTGCAGTGTTGAATTACATAACTATCCGCCATAATTAGTCAGATACTTACGCTAATCAAGCACAAGCACATCAACAGTCATTACTTATTTATGCACTAGTAAAAATATAATTTTAGACACTAGCAAATAATAACTATTGTAGCACCTGTCTGACTAAAAATACAGTTGTACAGTTATACCAGTATGTTATTAGGATTAGATAACTTTTGTCAAGTTCCACAGAACAATGGTGTCGTGGTGTAGTTGGTTATCACGTCAGTCTAATACACTGAAGGTCTCCTGTTTGAGTCTGGGTGATGCAATTTTTACGTTCCTTTTTTAATTTTCACGTTTTCTGCATACTGATGCACTTTTTTTCTTTCTTTTGATGTTGGGATTCATTCCATCAGGGACGGTAGAAACTAAAAACTTAGGAACACAGGGAAAAATCAAATTTCAGCTCTGAATCCATTGCAAAACATCAGTCATGTAATATATATTGTGAATCTCACGAACTGGACACAGTCTTCCTTTTCTGGACATTGTCTTCGTATTTCAAAGCAGTTATATCATGTTAAATAAGTGTAGATAATTATCCAGAAAATGAAACAAAACATGATCCATTAGTACATGAAAACATTAACTGGTCTTAATTTAGTATATGTAATTTGGATACTTGTTCAGGGTTGAGAGGAACTTGTTAGCGAATGGGAAAAATATAATTAGTCCAGATATTGAACTGTACAAGCTGAACTAGCAATGAGACCTACAAGGAAGGTAGACACAAACAAAATCAACACTGGACCTCTTCACCATATGAGCACGCTTTTCCCCTTTGGGGAACAGTTCTATCTCACAAGTACTTCTCACTAAAACAGTATTATACTGTGTCATTATCCAAACCAACTTGATTAACATTATCCTTTTTGGTTTATTGGTCACATGATTTTTCTCATGTCTACAAAAAGTACATTTGTGCTCGCATTTATATACTAGAACAGTATGATGATGCTTCCTTATAAAATGATTCTGACCAAAAGATGTTTCATTTTCAGTTCTTTCAATGTCAGTAAGTTAACTTCCTTTTTCTTCATGATACTTAAGTTCTGTTATAAATGAAGCCCGGATCAGCAGCAGCTCTTTCAATGTTTTTTCTTGCATCAATTATTGCATCTTAGAAGTTCATATGATTTAATCTCTGCTAATGATAACGCTAAGCACACAGATATGCAATGGAGCTAATTAAATGTGCAGAAACGGGAAGAAAATGAATGCTTTATTATATCTGTAAACTGTACTTTTACATCTATATATATAGACTAACTTTGACTGATATTAACTTCCTCTAAACCAACTTATCTAACTAACTAATATTCTGTTAGCCATCCTCAAGTTGGAGCATACAAATTTTGAATGCCCAATAATAGATCTTTGAAAAGATGTTGTAGGTATAGCCTTTGTGAAGCAGTCAACTAGTTGATTCTGAGAAGAAACTGACATTAAAACAATGACCCCCTTTTGCAGCTTTTGTCTAATCAAATGACAATCAGTCTCTGTGTGTTTAGTACGTACATGGTAAACTGGATATTTTACAATACGAATAGCCCAAAGATTATCACAATAGAGATTTGTTTTAACATGAGAAACATTCAAATCATTAAGTAAAAATTGCAGCCATTGCTCTATACTCTGCCTCGCTGGATGATCGAGAGATCGTTTGTTGCTTCTTCGATTTCCACGATATAAGTGCAGGGCCTAAAAAGATACGAAAACCAGTTAGAAATCTTCTCGAGCCAGGACATGAAGCCCAATCAGAATCACCGGAAACCTTGAGTTTCATATCACTTTCTGCAGGAAAAAATAACTCTTGTCCTGGAGTACCCTTCAGATATCGAAGGAATCTATGGGCAATAGTTAAATGATCCTTTCTAGGAGCCGATAGGAATTGAGAAAGTTGTTGCACAACATACACAATATCTGGCCTAGTATTAGTAAGATAGAGCAATTTCCCAGCAAGTTTCCTATAGTCTGTAATATTAGAAAGGAGTTAACCTTGCGTTTTGGTCCTTTGGACAACTTATTATTTCACAGTATAGGAGTAGCAACATGTTTAGACTCTAAAAAACTTGTATCTTTTAAAAGATCCAAGGTATACTTCCTTTGACACAAGTTATGTCATTTTTAGACCTAGAAACCTCAAGATTTTTTTTTTTTTTAAATCACCAAGACCCTTGATCTTGAACATGTCATGAAGATAACTTCTAACTTTACTAATTTCATCCATATCAGCACTAGAAAGAATAATATCATCTACATAAATAAGTAGAGCTATAAACTTATTACCAAGGTTTTAAATAGCGTTTGTGGTCACGTTTTCGGTCATGTTGCGTATATCACGGTTGCGGATATAACGGATGCTATTGCGGTCATTGCGGATATCACGATCGTGAATTTTTTTCCGAAGGAGCTGATTTTTTTTAATAAAAAACTGTTTTTTTATAAAAAATTAATATAACGGAATAATAGCGGAATAGCGGTCCGCTATTGCTGCGATCCGCCGCTATTAGTGTGATCCAGCTTCACACCGTTATTTTCCGCGAATGCGGTTTCGGACACCGCCGCAACCGCAATATAATGGCCGCGACACCGCTATTTGGCCGCTATTTGAAACCCTGCTTATTACCTTCACCTTTAAAAAACTATGAAGAATCAGAAACAGATTGTTTAAAATTCTAAGCAAGTAAAGAACTAGTCAATTTCTCATTCCACTTTCTACTTGCTTGTTTCAAGCCATACAAGCTCTTATTGAGTTTACAAACAACACTAGGTTGACTACTATGTAAACCAAGAGGTAAATCCATATATACCTCTTCTTGTAAATCTTCATGCATCATTATTAATGTCCAATTGACACAAATTCTATTTCCTTGCTGCAACAATAGCTAAAATAGTTCTTATGGTGGTAATCTTTGCTACAAGACTAAAAGTATCAATAAAATCAATTCTTGATTTTTGAGTGTATCCTTTTACAACTAACCTAGCTTTGTATCTCTCTAAAGTCCCATCAGACCTAAGTTTAGTCTTATAGATCCACTTATAACCTATTGTTTGTTTACCTTCAGGGACTACACTAAAATCCCAAGTCTTATTTTATTCCAAAACTTTGATTTCAACATTCATTGCCTCTTTCCAACAATCATGTAAACCAACCTAAGCATAATTTTTAGGCTCAGTAAGGATAGAAGCACTACAAATATATGACTTATGTTTAGAAGAAAATTTATCATAAGACAATACCTTAGCTATATTATGAGGAGTAGTTTTAGACTTTTAGCCTTAGGCAAAAGATACTTCGAAACCTTTTTACCTTTATGGTGAACGAATATTCCTAGAGGATCTAACTGGTGGAGAAGATGTCATGTTAGAGACTGGTAAAAGCACAATAGAATCAAGAGCTGCTGGTAATGGAACTAAGTGAACCACTTCAGTTGATGTGTTATGAACCTCCCGCTCAGGGGAATGTGTGGCGGGTAGACTTGCTGCAGATGAAATAGCACCCAACGAGCTTGTAGCAGATGGATTATCAATAACGGTAGGTGAGACACAAACTGGTTCGTTCTCATGTAGAAGTTGACCTCCTGATTGAACAAAATCTTCAAATAACATCTCATTATTATACGCATGTCATACTATATCAGAAGAAGGTACACAAGGAGAGCCCTCCTTGAAAGGAAACTTATTTTCAGTAAATACATCTCTTGGTACAAAAACAGACTTACCATCTAAGTCATATAACCTAAAACCTTTGATGTTTTTAGGATAACCAAGAAAAACACATTTAACAACTCTAGGATGTATTTTGGTCTTTGGCTAATGTAAAAGAGAAGCAAAAGTTAAACATCCAAATACTCTTAATACATCCAAATTTGATTTCTTCTGAAATAGAACTTCAAAAGGAGTTAAATTCTCTAAAACTGGAGTAGGGGTTATATTTATGAGATAAGAAGAATGTAAAATGCAATTAATCCTAAAAGGAATAAGAAGATTGTTGGTAAATAAACGAGTAATTTCCCTATAACCATATTAGTGAGAATGTGAAATAAAAGCGGAAAAATAATACCCGAAATTGATAACGGAGTTTAGTCAATTATGCCTACATCTCCGGACTGCTGCAGATCTTTCACTAAAGAGAGAAAATTTACAGGTGTTTACAAAACACTCACAACTCACAAGAAAGCTCTCTAGTATTGGGAGAAAGAAATGATTTGGGATTATTTTGAAGCTAAATGGGTAAGGGTATTTATAGTTGAAGCTTAGAGACTAATCTTGTAAATACCTTTAAAATGCAGGGACTAAAGTGCAATATTCCTATTTCCATTTTCAACAAAAAACACCACCGAAATCAGTGCATTAAATCACCGAAAAAAGCCATCCTCACTTTCTGAATTTTAACAATATCCCACTTGAAGACTGATTTTAATCTATCTTCACACTTCGATCAATGCAGTTGCATGTATGGTCTTGTTACTCTAGCATGCCAACTGAAGTTGAACACAACTTCAGTTTGTTCGTAGTCACCGTCCTATAAACCCATTTGTTATTGGGCAGTTTCTCCGTGGTTGCCTTATACCTCAACGTCTTGGCTCCCTTCGACTATTGTCCACTAGTCTTTGAAGGATTGTTCCGCACTTGGACATCCTCGACAAGCCCCTACTTAAATCATTCTCTTAAGATGGTCTCTGAAGCCATGTTCTCTACACGAACATGCTCGACAAACTCCTTGGACACGGACAACTCTTCTTACACTTGGCTTCTACTCGCTTTGGCAGAAAGGAACCTTATTGAGCCAACTCTCAACGCCTCTTCGATCCTAGGTTCATCATCTTCTCTGGACAACTCGATCTTGGGTCCATCCATCACCTTGGATGGCTCGGCTCCCCTCGGGTAATTTTGCAACACTGTTGGCATCTTAAGTCTGTGCCCCTCGTTTACTCAACTCTTACCCTCAGCTTAGCATCTTTAACACTTGAAATTGTGCCAAGTATGCACACATCTTCACCAGATCCACCATTTGGTTCATCATTGAGTGGACTTTCTCTGCCACTCGAGGAATAACATTCATCATCCTCTGACTTGCCTTCATCACGGGATCTCTTGCAGCTACCCTCGGCTTTCGACTTTGCTTTGGAAGTCTTGTTCTTCTTGACTCCAAATTCTTTGATGGACTCGGCGGTTGTCAAGGCTTTAAACAGCTCCTTGACTTCCCTTAATTCCAACACTTTCTTCGCCCATGGCTTCAATCCGAACATGAAGGTGAAGAACCCATCTTCTTCAGTCAAACTTGAGACTTTGAGCGTGAGTCTTCTGAATCGGCTCACATACTCCTTAAGTGTCCCTTTATGCCTGAGACGCCTCAACTTGGACCACACCTCCATCCTGGCATATTGTGAGCGGACTTGCGCACTTTGCACCCTCGGCTTGACGGCTTTATCTCTTGCTATCTCACCGGGTCCTTTCCTGTGCTCGACTACTTTGACACCTGCAGTCTCGTCACACCTCAATCTTGGATTAACTACTTGAGAACTTGTAGTCGCACCATCCTTGGCCTTTGATTCGACTACTCTGTAACACTAGCCTCACCAAGTCTTTCCCCTGACTTGATTGCTTGAACACTCACAATTGCATCGAGCTTTCTTTTGGGTTTGGCTGCCTCAACAGCCTTGCCTTGTCTTGTTAATTGCTTGGCCGCATTGATTCCCTCAATCGGACCAAGTTTTTTCCCTGGCTTGGCAGCTTTAACACTTGTGCCCCCGCCAATTCCCGTTATTTCTCCTTCTTCCATCCTCTTCATGATGGTTGCAAGGCGACGTTTCTCGGGACATCCTCTAATCAAATGAGGACCATCACAAAAGTAGCACTTTAACTTTTCTTTGCTCACCTTCTTCTTCGCACCGGACTTAGCCTTGTCATTCTTTCCTGATGGCTTTCCTTGGCTACGAACAGTCGATGGCTCACATTGGCCATTCGAAGAGCTTTCCTTACCATATCCTCGCTGCACCTTTTCCCGGTCTCCCCCACTATTACCACTATCTCTAGGCATGGGCTTGGACGACACATCGCTACTTGGCTTGACACCTGCAAGCTTAGTCAGCTTTCCGGCTACATCTATGGCCTCCGAAAGTCTCTGGGCATCACCTTGCTCTCCCTCGAGCATCGCCTCTGTTCTAAGTCCTTCCAAGAAGGTCCTGAGCGCACCATCCAACTTCTCAATTTTCACATTCCCTTTGTCTGCACACATCGCTCCCACTCGAATCTGGCTTTGTTTGGATCATTTCTGACAATTTCTACGAACCACCGTGTATTAGAATACCTCTGTCGTCAAACTCGTATATCCGGCCAAATTTCACTATTCACAAAATTTACTATTCATGTGAATAGTAACCTCACAGAAAAAATGACAAAATTCACAACCAAAAGCTCATGATACCAGTTGTTGGGAAATAAACGAGTAATTTCCCTATAACCAGATTAGTGAGAATGCGAAATAAAAGCGGAAAAATATTGCCCGAAATTGATAACGGAGTTCAGCTAATTATGCCTACGTCTCCGGACTACTGCAGATCTTTTACTAAAGAGAGAAAAATTACAGGTGTTTACAAAACACTCACAAGAAAACTCTCTAGTATTGGGAGGAAGAAATGATTTGGGATTATTTTGAAGCTAAATGGGTAAGGGTATTTATAGTTGAAGCTTAGGAACTAATCTTGTAAATATCTAAAAAATGCAAGGACTAAAATGCAATATTCCTATTTTCATTTTCAACAAAAAAACACCACCGAAATCGGTGCATTAAATCACCCAAAAAACCAGCCTTTCTTTCTGACTTTTAACAAAGACCAACTTGGATCCTTAAAGCTCTTGCCATGGACAAAATACGCTGATGTTTTCTTTTCACTACACTATTTTTCTGTGGTGTGTATGTGCATGAGTTTTGATGTACAATACCTTTGGCCTTGAAAAAAACAACCAAGTCAAATTCTTTGGCATTATTAGTTCTAAAACATTTAATTTTTGTAGAAAATTGAGTCTCCACCAATTGATAAAATTCAACAATTATCCTTCTTACCTCAGATTTTTCTTGCATAGGAAAAATCCACAAAAATCTACTCTTATCATCCATCACAGTTAAAAAATAATTGTGACCATAAATGCTCTTAATAGGAAAAAGACCCCAAACGTCCATATAACCAAATCAAAACAGGCACATTATTGTTCAGATAAGAAAAAAAAACCTCATCTTTTGATCAGCAAGATGTCCTAATCTATTATGCCAATGATTAAAGTTCACAGAATTACAAGCTAACACTGTAGAAATCTGTTTTTCACAGATTTCCAAGACATATAGACCATCTACTTTCTTAGACATACCAATCATCTTCCAAAGATTCAACCCATGTATAACACAAGAATCAAAAGAAAAAATTAAACATCAGGAGCCATCCTTCGTAAGTTACGAAGTAGAAAGCAGGTTGAACGAAAAATTGGGTATGTAAAACACATTCTTAAGGATTAAACTTGGTGAAATCTCCACAGTCCCTATATGCGTAACTTTAACTAATTGGCCATTTGGTAATCTAACAAACTTACCATCAATAGAACAATAATCTCTAAAGTAACACATTGAATTTACAATGTGATAGGTAGCCCTTGAGTCTATAATCCACCCAATATTAGGATGCTGATTAAAACAATTAAAAATCATACCTGAACCAGCTGTAGAGGCTGATGTTGCATCAAACACCGAGAAGAAAACGCATCATGTTAATACAGTTGTACAAGTTTTTTATTAAATTAATAAAATCTTTACCAAATCATGAACAGATGGTGTCGTGGTGTAGTTGGTTATCACGTCAATCTAACACACTGAAGGTCTCTGGTTCGAGTCCGAGCGACGCCAGTTTTTTTAATTATTTTTCATGTTTTCTGGATACTGACACACTTTTACTTCTTTTGATGTTGGGATCATAGGGAAAAAACAATTTTCTGCTCTGAATCCATTGCCAAACATCAGCCATACACTATTTATTGTGAATCCCATGAAATGCGTACAATCTTCCATTTTTTGGAGGCAATCACATATTTTTATTCAGATATCACTGCTCATCAGATACTTATTTTAATCAAGTACATGCGGATCAACAGCCACTTTGTTGAGTTTTGATACATATTGTATTAACAAAAGATGTTTCCTTATAAGATGATTCTGACCAAAATATGTTTCATTTTCAGTTATTTCTTTCAATATCAGGAAGTTAAGTTCCTTCTGCTTTATGATGCACCCAAAATATCAAGTTCCGTTCTAAAATGAGCCCCGGATCAGCAGCTGCTCTTTCAATCTCATGACATTTGTCTTGCATCAATTCTTACATCTTTTGAAGTTAATATGGACTTTGTACCACCTATCTGGCTAAAAATATAACTGTAGACTTTTTTTTTGTAGATTTATATAAATTTTACGAACGCAAGTACCCAAAGGAGTCGTGGTGTAGTTGGTTATCACGTCAGTCTTACACACTGAAGGTCTCCGGTTCGAGTCCGGGCGACGCCATTGGAGGGTTCATTTTATTATTTTCATGTTTCAGTTATTGCTAGCCTCTGTTCAGCTCTTTCAAAGTCGGGACGTTAAGCTTCTTATGCTTTATGATGCACTGTTCTAAAGTGAAGCCCAGATCAGATAAGGATGTGGAGAGAGCGGTGCTCAGTTCCATTACTACTTACCGCAGCTCATCAGATAATTATTTCAATCAAAGCCATGCATGCAGATAAACAATCGCTTGTTTGTTGATTTTAAGCAAATTGGCTTTGAATAACTTCATGAGCCAATACCAAAAACTAATAGGTCGATCAACACATGATGTTTTTCTTATCCCCTACCATCACATGGTTGTGCATCCCTCAAAGCTTCATCGAGTGACGGGAAAGTCATGAAACTGATTGGATTTGAACGGGGACAAGATACATGTGGGAATTTGCTTGAACGAAGGCTTCGTATTGCTCACATGAAACATCAGGTGAACTTTCATCCAAATGGGAGGGTTGATTCTGGAAATTGATTATTAGCTCGAACCGGGAAACTTTATACTTTTTGGTCTAAGACCAATAAATTCCCATTTTTTCTTCCTATCATCTCGTACTCTTCCCTACTAAAGTAAGCAAATCAATATATTCTGGTTATGGTGTACAAGGCTTTGGCTTTGTTTTAAATTATATACATGAATTCAATTCTATCTTGTAAATGATATTTTTGCATGTAGAATAGTATGTATATATATAATCCACAATAAATCTAACTAAGGGTTTGTATTTGATGTACTATTAACGGATAAATTCATACAGTTATGCCAAGAAGAGCATAACTAGGGATGGACCAAGGGAGACTGATGGGGGCAGTCGTCCCTTGAAATTTTAAAATTATTGTATATTTTAGATTCTTTTCTATGTATTTTCTATTGAAAATATATTCTTCATGAAATTCAATTTCTTCCCTCTAATATAGAATCCTCCATCCGTTCCTCACGGTATAAAGTATGAATTCTCACTAAGAAGAAGAAATATTCCAATACAAGTTCTAGCCAAATGTAAACATGCTTTAACATTTTCAGCTAACATTGACTTATCTACTTGTTCAGATGGTTTGCATTCCCTGCCATTGTGGTGGTTTTTATCTGCTCGGCATCCACGGGAAAGCTTGTTGATGAGCTAACGGAACCGAGGGCAATATTTGATTATCGAAATGTTGATTGTTTGTGAGGCTAAGAACCATTCCTATTGAAGGGTAGTTAACGTTCATGGAAGCAGCCGATGAGTTCATGAGGTGAGGGTTCGCGATACCATGGCCCGAATCCAGTAACATGAAGGTCGAAGCTGGTAAAGCTGTTGATGAAGCTGTGGAAGCCATGGCGGGTGCACCCGCAGGGAGCGGATGATTGTGGGTTCCTTCGTATGTTGTAATAAGAATCGACATGTCGTCGATGCATCGTTGCACCTAAATCGCAAAAGAGATCGAAATTTAAAGTGTTGTAACATAAGAATAGAGTGTATTTATTAAGAAAAGAGGGACAGTTGCCTCTAAATATTTTAAATTTTCATACGGTTTAGATATTTTTTATTGATATAAAATCTTACGTTCGTTGTTAAATTGAGACTATACGTACTTGCTTCCTGACCAGGCATCCCGGAGCTACCGTGCAACTATAGTAAGCTCGTGGGCAAGGATTTCCTTTTGTAATCTTCTGGCCATATTTCCTCCATTGACACCCATCGTTCATCTGCAAATGAATAAGAACTGGTCTCACCAACCTAGAAGTTGAAGTATGTTTTGTAATAATCGTGTTTTGAAGAATTTTTAGCGAACCATATCTAATACATTGATGGAATCAAAAATATCAATAAGAACTCGAAATATACCTATAAAGTAGACATATTCGTACTCATAATCTAAGATCAATCCAAATTATATATATATATATATATATATATATATATATATATATATATTGAACTTACTCCTTACCCCATTGCATATGAAATAGGGTTTTGTTGTTGTTGTTATATTGAACTTACTGTAGCTGTTTGACATCTTGCTCTGATGGAAACCCTAGCTTTCCTGTTGAATGTGGAAACAGCATGGCTTGTGATTGCAGATGAATGAGTTTGTTGAAGCTTGTTCTGCACATCGTTTGGGGTTTCTTCTTCTCGAATTTCTGGTTGAATTGAGCTGGTTTTCAGCGTTAAGGACAACCCCAGTTCGTGATCATCTTCACCGTCGCTGTCACCTGGTGATGGTGACCCATGTCTTGGGTTGTTGACAATATTTAAGTCTCTTTCAATTCCCTGCCGTTGTTCTTGAATTAAACCTCCATTTCCATTTGGTGAGAGAAAGATTCGAGGGTCCTAAACATCAAACAAATTCAGAAACTCAAGAATCAATATTAACAAAAAAAGAAATATTTAAACTAATACATATTCACCTTCAATGGGTTGTTTTGCTGAATAAGAGCAAACTTCATCTGGAGATGGTTGTAATCCTGCAAAGTTTTCTCCACCGCTTTCCTCAACACTTTTTTCTCTTCTTTCATGCGATTCATCTCCATTTGCAGCACAGACAACTAGAAAATTGCAAGATTTCATCATCCATGCAATTTAAGATTGCAAAAACGATCGTTACGAAAAACCCAGATTTGAATTCGATTCGAATCTCGATAACTGCAACTAAGGTGATAGTTAAAAGAGTAGCTACCTCTTTTGTGTTGTCGTTTCCTTGCAAGCTAGGCAATGCTAATGGTGCTCCGTCATCTTCTGCTGATGATGAACTCGCCATTGTTTGTGAAGATTGTAACTTTAGCCTCTGCAAATGCAGCTTTTGAGGCACCAAAGTCAATGCCATCGTCTCTAAGACGTATAATATGATACACTAGGAGAAGCATCCGAGCTTTGACTATATTATTATTATTATTATTATTATTAATTAATCAAGAGTAACCATTATTTACTTTTACACTTTTTCTAATCGTTGCGTGATCAGAAGTAAATAATTAAACTTAATGATAATAAATGAAGAAAATTATATAAATAAATAAATAAATTTACGAGCCATTTTTGAAATCCAATAACGAATAAGAAGCCACCTAGGGATCATATATTTCAAGAAAATGTCAACTATAGAATACCTCATATGACCCTATTCATTGATCCATGTTTTGCTAACCATTAAAATATATTTATCATCCATGTGATTTTAGAATACTAAACTTAATTATCAAAGTCTTCACTTATTTCTTAATTAATTTTTTTATTTCTTAAAATTTGTTGATGTGATAGGAATAGATGTAGGCCAGGTTAGGTCTCAGTCGATCCAATCTCGAAAACTATACACCTTCCACTTGAATCGATGTGAATCTAGGTATGACTTCACTCGATCCAGTTTTTTGAAGATCCAATCTAAAATAAATATATTTATAAAAAAAATATTATTTTTATTCAATAAAAATATAGATATAATTGAAAAAAAATAATATATAGATGGTTATTATTGTAATTATTCCTGAATATATAAGGTAAATTTTTATTATTTTTTGGGTCAGGTCGGGTTAGATATTTTTCACCTTAAACTTGAACTTGACCCGTACATATTTGTTAAAAAATCCCAACCCGAACCTAAAATTTTTCTATAAAGATTTGACCAGATTAAATCAGATCGGAACCATCCCTGAATATGTGACATCATTCTTTTTATTTTCCTTCAAATTTTTTTATCAATCATAGTATTAACCCTGCAAATATGATTAATGGGTGGATTACCTTAAATTACATTATTCATCGATTCTTCCAAAACATAAGGCATTGGGAACGCTCGGCCGTTTCGAAAGTGCCTAACCAGAGACGGGACCGGTTCTTTGGTAGCGGATCTCGGTGACCCATTTCCCCCAGTGACGCTGCCTATCACCTCGGTAAAGCTTGGTCGGTTTATCGCTTTACCTCCTCTTATTGCTCATCCGATGGACTGGAGGAAATTGTTCGGGAGCATGACAGAACAAAACTTAGATTTTTCCCCCCAAAGCAACGAGAAGGGACTCCGGTTGTTCACCCCCCCACCGGAGGTTCTTGAAGCCGAAATTTCAGAATGGGAACTATCTCTGGTAGGGCAATTCCTCGGAGCAACACCCAATTTCCCCTCTCTTCAACGGATCGTCGACAACCTGTGGAACAAAGCTTTACAAGGATCACAAGTTCAGGTGAGTTCGGATGGTAACAACATTTTCTTATTCTCATTTGACACAGCAACTGCTAGAGATTGGGTGATTGAAAACGGTCCATGGCATATCCATAATAAGCCACTAATACGTAGAAAATGGGAGCCAAATATGAAAAAACTCAGCTTTGATTTATCTAAACTACCAGTTTGGGTGCATCTTTTTAATGTTCCTCTAGAACTTTTTACCCGAGTTGGCCTAAGTTATTTAGCAAGTGCTATTGGAAATCCCATCTCTATGGATTCAATTACTGCTTCGAAATCCCGACTTGAATATGCTAAAGTCTGTGTCAAAATCGGGGCTAATGAAGGTATTCCTAATTTTATAGATGTTGTTCTGAAAGATGGACAAACTGCATCGATTCAAGTGGGAGTTCCTTGGCTGCCACCAACCTGCAAAAAATGCAAAGTTTTTGGCCATCTTGATAATGAATGTCAGCAAAAACAAAATTCAGCTCCAACAGCTTACAAAGTCTGGAAAAAGAAGGGAGATTATGGATCCTCAAAAACAGAAGGAGTTGAATTACTCAAAGAAACTTTTAATTCTGGACCAAAGCTTTCTGAAGATCAGAATTCTATTGATGCAGTTAAAGTAAACGACAAAGTACTCAAAGAGACTTGAACAGATTTTACAAATCAAGGAGAACAGTTCCAGCAAACTGTTTCTGTTCTAACAGAAAGTGTTCCAAATGATATAGTTGAAGAAATGGCTAAACAAACAAATGATGATCTTACTGAGCAGGAGGAAGATACAACAGTCGCGCAAAAAGTCGATCATAAACGTGGAAGAGGTAGGCCTGCCAAAGAACACTCAAAAGTACCATTAGCTGGTTCTAAAAACATATTCGAAATCCTCTCTTCTGCTGAAGAAAACCCACATAGTGCTGATAAACCTTCAAGGAAAATCTGAACAGCTTCATTGGGAGTAGCAGAACTGGTGAAAGAGTTAAAATCAAAAAGAAGGAACACATAGATAAAGCTCAAAGCACCACGGTAGAAGGTAATGGGGGTTTAGTGGGACCATCCACCAAATAATATTAAGCTTCTGGAACGTAAGAGGTCTTAATAAACCTCTAAAGCAAGAAAGAGTACTTCAATGAGCTAATCATTTCAAAGTTGACGTTATGTGCCTAATGGAGACTAGAGTCAAAATAGACAAGTCTGATTCTATTTTTAAATCAAAATTCTCTGATTGGGATGTCTGCACTAATTACGACCATGCTGTTAACGGGAGACTGTGGGTTTTATGGAGGAAAGGAACTGATTTTTCCATCATTCAAGTAACATACCAGAGCATTACAGTAAAAGGAAACTATCTAGGAGCTCCTATGTTCATCTCGGCAGTATATGGAAGCAACGAAGGAATAGAAAGAAGACAACTATGGAAACGACTTCGTGAACTGGACTCTACAATTGAGCAATCCCCTTGGATACTTGGAGGGGACTTTAATATTATACTGCATTCTACTGAAAGCTCGGATCATGAGCTTTCTGGTCACTACCTTACTCCAGAAATGAGCGATTTTCAAGACTTCGTACATGAGCTCGACCTCTAGGATCATCCTTTTTTCGGGCCTTCTTTCACTTGGACTAATAAACAGAAAGATAATTTTCTAGCTCGGAAACTTGACAGGGTTCTTATTAATCCCTATTGGGCTACCGCTTTCCAACAATCCTTTGTTGAGTTCACTGCCCCAGGTATTTCTGATCATTGTATGGCCATTGTTTGGCTATCGAAGGAGATTCCATGTAACAGACCGAAGCCTTTCAAGTTCTTCAACTTTTGGACACTTCACCCAAATTTCATGAAGGAGGTTAGACACTCGTGGCAAACACCAGTGTTAGGCAACCCAATGAATATACTCTTTATTAAATTGAAGAGACTTAAAAGCTGCCTCAAGAATTTAAATAGAGATAACTTCAGCGACATTTCAGCCCGCGTGAGACAAAAGAGAATCGAACTGGAGCTTCAACAAATTCTCACATTAAAAGGAGAAGATGTAATCGATAAGGAGTTATTACTGCAAGCAGAACTTAGCAGTCTTGAAGAGGCAGAAGTATTGTTCCTTAAGCAAAAAGACAAAATTCAGTGGCTTAAGGAAGGTGATAAATGTTCCAAATTATTCCACTCCAGGCTTGCCATTAAAAATAAAAGGAACAGTATTCGGGTTTTGCTTAACGATCAAGGTGACAAACTTGAATCATTCGACGATATGGCTACCGAGGTGACTAATTTCTTTTTCAATCTAATCGGCTCAGTCGATCCAAGGGTCAGAGAAACGAATCCTTTTGTTCTCAAGGAATTATTACATTACTCTTTGCCTGCAGAAGCAACTACAAATTTGATTAAGGAATTAACTGTCGAGGAGATCAAGGAAGCCATCTTTAGCCAAGGGAACAAAAAATCACCTGGTCCAGACGGGTACACCCCCCTTTTCTTCAAGAAAACTTGGCCAATTATAGGTGATGAGGTGGTTGCTGCAGTCCACTACTTCTTCCACAATTCTCATCTATTGCCATCTTTTAATGCTACCATTCTAACATTGGTTCCTAAAGTCCCCAACCCAAAATCTGTTAAAGACTTTCGGCCTATTTCATGTTGCTCAGTGGTCTATAAGGCTATAACCAAGATATTGGTCAAAAGATTGACTAATCTCCTTCCTGACATGATAACTTTGAACCAGACAGCTTTTATTAAAGGAATGAGCATAGTTGAAAATACACTCCTTGCTCAGGAAATGGTCAGAGGCTATGGTAGGAAAACCATTTCCCCACGATGCTCCATAAAAATTGATCTTCACAAAGCTTTTGATACACTTCACTAGGGGTCCATCATAAACATTCTTCAGGCGCTTGGACTTCCTACGAGATTCATAGCATGGATTGAAGCTTGCTTTACTAAAGCGAGATTCTCAATTTCATTCAATGGGAGCTTAATTGGCTATTTCAAGGGAGCTAGAGGAATCCGACAGGGAGACCCTCTCTCACCCTTCCTTTTTGTTCTCTCTATGAATGTGCTTTCCAGATTACTCAATTTGGCTGCTGCTAGAGGCGTGTTTGGCTACCACCCAAAAAGCAAGAAGATCGGCTTAACACACTTATCCTTTGCTGACGACTTGCTGATTTTTTGCAAAGGTAATGTTGAATCAATTGTTGGCATAATAAGCGTATTAGATCAATTTTATGAAATGTCTGGACTTAGGCTTAATGCATCTAAAACAGAATTTTTTGCTGCTGGAATTTCTACTAGAACTTTAGATGATATTAAGCAAATTACTGGCTTTAAACATGAAACCTTGCCTGTGAGATATTTAGGAGTCCCACTTGTCACTCGGAAACTCTCCGAAAAAGACTGTGACATTTTAATTGAGAAAATCAAAGCTAGGCTTCATCGCTGGACATGGAAAAATTTGAGCTATGCAGGCAGACTGTAACTCATCAGATCAGTCTTGTTCAGTGTTGCATACTATTGGTGTCGATAACTAATGCTACCACAATCCATCTTAAACAAGATCAATCAACTTTGCTCCCGTTTTTTCTGGAAAGGTGAAAATAAAGCCGCATCCGGAGCTAGAGTAAGTTGGGATAAAGTCTGTCATTCAAAATCAGAAGGTGGGCTCGGATTGAGGAATTTA